TTTCATATTCTTTCAGGCAAAGTGAAGGAAGCTCAAAACCTCATCGCCGAAGGAGCCGACCCTAATATTGGAAATAATTTTAATGAGACAGCTCTGCATTATGCTGCTAAGAAAGGTAACGTTGAATACTTATTGTTATTGAATAAAAGATTGACCTGATTTCATCCCATCGATCGGTGTTATTGCTCAGGTCACAAGAGTGTCGCCGAACTTCTCATCCGCAAAGGAGCCAACCTTGATAGTGAAACTAATACGAAAGACACACCTCTTCATTATGCTGCTTCCCGTGGTAATTTTGAATACTCTTTTCGAGTACTATGCGCATTAGTATTGCTTAGCAACAAGCATTGAATATGATCCGTGTCGGTATTCTACGACTTTCCGACAAAATCGATCGGAATTATTTTATTCGTACATAAGGCCATATTGGAGTGAAAGAGAGAGATTCCACTATTTTTCAGCTTCCCACCGGAATTATTTCGATAACTCAAAGAAGAGTGGATTGTGTGAGAGATAATTCCGGTGGGAAGCTGAAAAATAGTGGAATCTCTCTCTTTCACTCCAATATGGTCTTATGTACGAAAAAAATGATTCCGAACGATTTTGTCGGAAAGTCGTAGAATACCGGCACCGACCAATAGACAAGCATATCGCGATGCAACTGCCGCGCACACAACTATCGTGCAAACAAACATCGCATATGCAGCCATCGCAACCAACTCACACACAAAATCGACAAGCATATATACACGGGTGTCAGAGTTGTGTGTGATGTCTAATACCGAGGGGCAAATCACTCTTTTTGCAATTACTTCCCAAAAGTTGCAATTACTCTTTTTTTCAGCAATTACCTCAAAATTTACAATTACTTTTCATATACAAGTAATTGCAACCGACCAGTAATTGTTGAAAAATGGAGTAATTGCAACTTTTGGGAAGTAATTGCAAAAAGAGTGATTTGCCCCTCGTCTAATACACTTCGTCAGTGCAGCCTTGACTGTTTTTCACTAAATGGGAAATTGGTTTAATTTTTTTTATCGATCTGGGTTATTTTTCAGGTCACAAGAGCATCGCTGAACTGCTCACCACTAAAGGAGCCAATGTTGATATCGAAAATGTTTGGTTTGAGACACCCCTTCATTATGCTGCTTCCCATGGTAATTTTGAATACTCTTTTCGAGTACTATGCGCATTAGTATTGCTAAGCAGCAAGCATTGAATATGCTTCGGCCAATAGACAAGCATATCGCGATGTAACTGCCGCGCACACAACTATCGTGCAAACAAACATCGCATATGCAGCCATCGCAATCAACTCACACACAAAATCGACTAGCATATATACACGGGTGTCAGAGTTGTGTGTGATGTCTACTACACTTCGTCAATGCAGCCTTGACTGTTTTTCACTAAATGGGAAATTGGTTTAATTTTTTCCATCCATCTGAATTATTTTTCAGGTGACAAGAGCATCGCTGAAGTTCTCCTCCGTAAAGCAAACGATCTTAATATTAAAAATTATATACATCAGACACCTCTTTATTTGGCGGCTTTGAATGGTAAGGTTGACTAAATAAGATATTCCGCCGATCTCTTTCATTGATCCATATTATTTTAGGTCACGGAGGTGTCGCTGATGTGCTTCTCAAGAATGGAGCTAACGCTGATATTGGAGATGATTTGAATACCACAGCTCTTCATTTAGCTGCATCCGGTGGTATTGTTGAATGCTGTTCTTATTAAAGAAACGATTGATTTGATCTCTTTCATCGATCCGATTTTTCTTCTAGGTCACAAAGATGTCGCCGAGGTTCTCCTCAACAAAGGCGCCAGTATGGATATCATGAATAATTTTAATAATACACCTCTTCATTATGCTGCTATAAATGGTAATGTTGAATAGTTATTTTCACAAAATAAAGAATCGGTTTGATCTTTTTCATCGATCTAAATTATTTCTAAGGTCACAAGAATGTTGCTAAACTTCTCATCAAAAAAGGAGCCAAAGTTGATATTAGAAATCTTCAGAATCTAACACCTCTTCAGTTAGCTGTTAACCATGGTACTGCTGACTAAATTAAATGCCACTTTGATCTTTTTCATTGATCTGTATTATTTTTCAGATCACAATAATGTCGCTAAACTCTTTATCGGTAAAAGAAACCAAATTAATATTGAAGAACAATTGGAATAGATTCAATATGCTGCCAACAATGGTAATGTTGAATATTTTACTTTTCCGTACACTTTGTTAAGGGAATCGGTCCCGAAATTTTTTTTCGCAAAATTGGTTTAAATCATCATGAAAACTCATGAAACACTTTTCCGTTTGTGTGCCGTGGTCTTTGTCGTCGTCGTCCTTGCTGTGTGTTAACACGATAACTCAAAAAATAGTTGAGATAATGTGTATTGAAAAGATGATACTTATCTGTGTTGTTTACACTTATTTATTGTAAATTTTTATTTTGATTTTGTGCTTTGTTGTGGCCATCCACGATTTGGCGAGTTGATATTCTTAACTTTGAAGTCAATTTTGAATTATTACCATTTAGCATCAAATGATCTAGTAACGTTTCAAATCATGGTCCATGTCAACTCAATGCACTCTGCAATCAACATGGATCTGCCTTAACCGACGTAAAACTTCTCATCAATTTATCTATCGGATAAATTGAGTGACGACTTTTGCAGTCTCAAAGTCTTAAATTTAACGCGTAACAATTAACGCTTCACATAGCCTTTGTCCCTTTGGAAACGTTTACCAAAGGTTATCCTGGACCGTTTACTATAGACTACTATGAGCATTTCCATCTTGGTTGTATGACTGCTTTCGTTTTCATGTTCCTACTATTGTGATTACCTCATAATTTACGAAAAGAGCCAGGTTTTTAACGAGGCAAGAACTGAAAGTTATCGAAAGTTACTGCTACTATTTTTCATTATTTATAAAAATTGTAACAGTCTTGCACCCTTTTCCGGCCAAACCTCTAACAAAACCCACATTATATTCAGCCGGAGCTTGGCGGTGTTTAATAAAATAAAATAAAATAATCAGAATCTGGATCTTCCAGAAGTTTTGTATCCGAAAAACTTAGTTTAATTTTGAAGATGAGCCATTTTCGATTTCATCCTGGGGTACTTGACCAAAGAAGAACCTCCAAAAAATGATATTTTTGTATGGGGGGTACCCGTAAATCGATTCTGATTGGCTTCAAATTTTCTGAGATTTCACTTTTTGGTGAAAAAATGAAATTCTTAAAGTTTGGTTTTTGGCCCTCAATTTTTTCTTGAAACTACCTTGAAATTTTTTTTGTATGAGATGTGTGCTCGATTCCGATTGACTTGGAAACTTCAAACTCTCAGATTCTTATTTTTTCGCCATAAATCTTAGAAAGTTTAAAGCCATTCGGAATCGATTTACAAGTACCTCGCATACGAAATTGTCGAAATTTCGACTAAAATGACCGATTTTCACTGAAAATATGCTTTTTATATTCAAAATATGAGAAAAAAAGTACGAACAACTGTACGGAAAAGTACGGGATTACGAATGTAATTCTTTTTATATTTTCACAAAATAAGAAATTGTTTGATCTTTAATCGATCTGTATTTTCCAGGTGGCGTATAGCTGAATAATCGGATGATTTCCTTCGATTCCCGTTTTCGATTGTGAATGTGTAGAAGAATTATTCCAATACATTTTTTGTCAATCTTCTCAACCATATCAATTTGTGTGGTCAACAATATAAGTATTGTTGCTTTGTTCAACCATCAACTTTTCTGTTACGCTTTTAAATAGAAGATATCACTTTGCTGCATTTGTGCAACCTTAACTGTTTGTATGTAATAAGTAGGAATCATTGGAAAAATAAACTTTTC